CAGTGCTAGGTAGGGCATATTCACAGAAGAAAAAGATTTTTATCTTAAATGCAAAATATTTACAAATTACTTTTTACAATTGTGATATAATTACTTCTCTAAGTCGGTTGTTCTGTCAGCTTAAGGCACATTTTAGAGTCTCTATACTCCAGTTAACAATTAATCGATTACTAAATTAGTTGACAATTATTTCAATAATGATTAATCACGATTCATCCGATTAATTGTTTCAGCCCTAGAAGAGATATGCTTCATCTCGTTTTGCGTTTTTTGCTGTTTTGTTGAAGCATCCAGTTGTTTCCAGGTTTCAGCCAATTAGCTTTTTATTTGTAGTAAATTTGAAGATGCTGCCTCTTCTGAATTATTATTTCAGCTGATGATATTAAAGGTGTTTATGTTTGAAGTGGGGGCTTTCTTCTTGTTCAGCATATTTTTATTCCTTTGTCCTTAAACTCCCTCCAATGTTGCCATGATGTTTCATCTGTTTCTTGTTCAGGGCAGGCTTTAAACATGTCTGGTTCTTGGGTTGTTGCCCAACAACCAACCCGATTTCCTTTTAACTCCGGCTGGGTCAGATGGTGAAAGTGTTGTTGAACTAGTTGTCTGTGCCAAATATTTAACTACTTTAGATAACTTCTACCATTGTTAATGAGAAGAGTGGTTAAATATTTAAATTGAAACTCTTATCTGTGGGTTGTTGGTGATTTCAAGCATGAGGTTTCTCTTCATCCAGATACAGCAGGTAAATAAGTATTGAACAAGCCACCATTTTTCTTAGTAAATATATCTCAGTTGTGTTACTGACATGACATTTCCACCAGATGTTGGTAACAATCCAAGCAATCCATACGCACAAAGAAATCAAACTATAGATGTCCAGAAATTATGTGTAATAGTGTGAAATGCACAGGGAAAATGTATTGAACACACTTACTGAAATGTATTTATTACTTTGTACAAAAGCCGTTGTTGTCAATGACAGCTTCAGGATGCCTCCTGTATATTGTCCTGTTGTCGCATGCATTGCTCAGGTGTGATTTTGGTCCATTCTTCCACACAAGCAGTCTTCAAATCTTAAAGGTTCCGTGGGCCTCTTCTATAAACTCTGATCTGTAGTTCAGTAAGGTGATTAGCTGATTTATTTTCTTTCTTTGAAACCAATTGATAGTTTCCTTGGCTGTGTGTTTTGGGTCATTGGCTTGCCGAAAAGTCCACCAACTTTTCATCTTCATCATCCTTGTAGATGGGAGCAGATTGTTATCAAGAACGTATCTGTACATTTTTCATTCATCCTTTCTTCAGTTATTTGGTTTGGCAGTACCAGATGCTAAAAATCCACCCCACATCATGATGTTCCTCCAAACTTCACTGTATGTATGGTGTTTTTGGGGTGATGTGCAGTGTCATTTTAGCCTGACGTAGTCCTACTCAATTCTAGTCAGAATATGAGTCTGATACTGCTCCATAGAGCTGTGATTATGGGGCGTGTTTCGAATGAACCAGGAAAAAAAATGCCTCTGCACTCAATTGGATAGACCTACAACCAATAAGAGCAACGGAGTGCGTGACGTATGTTAAGCGA